GGTATTTCTTAATACCAAAGGCCCTCGAACTCTTGCACCGAGATTGTGATAGTGTGTGTGTGTGTGTGTGTGTGTGTGTGTGTTTGGTGTTTAGGGTTTTCCCCCGACGCGCTTGATCCTTGTTTGCGTGTTTCGCACTTTCACGTTCATCCCTGTGCAAAGTGTATCAGCGGATTCAGAGGAATTCAGATTGAGGTACGTCCAAGTCCTTGACCATTTGGCCCTCTCATTTCTTTCCCCAGGCTTCCGCTAGCTCATTCATGTCACACCTGCAGCTGCTCTGTTGAAGACACAACAAGGTGATGTGTAGCCGTCAGTGTGTATATCTTTCTCCTTCCCTCTAATCCAAACTTGACACGATTACCACAGACTCTCATCCTCATCGGCAATACTTGAATGAGACATTAAACTGCCTGCTACTCCTGCTCTGCCTACTCTCCCATATCACCCACCCAACCCCCATAGAATATCCCATGCAAAGTCGACTGAATGATTGAAGTAGTCCATTCCCTTCCTCCATTCTGAACTTTGCCACATCCATCAACAACTCACATGCATAGTGTTTGCAGGTCCAGTCTACAGGACTGAAAATATACATAGGACCGAACTGGACTGAACTACGGTCCAGTCTTTTTCCAGTTGCAGTTGCCCACATTTGTGGTCAGTCCAGTTGCCAGTTGCCATGTTTTTGTAAATATTTAAAAACCAAAAAAGACCGGTTTAGACCGGTTGCAACTGGTCTTTCATCCCATCACATGTTGGACCTTACTCGCACACATTTTTACTTAATTTTCGGTCCCTCAATCATCAAAAACAGTCAAGAATTGGTTGGAATATGGCCAAAAACATTTTTATACACAATTTAAATGTATATCCTTTCCGTTTCTGCCATATCTCAGTCAAATCTTCACAGAATTGCTTAAATTTTTAATCAGTCTACAGAAAATTTAAATATCTATCTATGTATGCTATCTATGTAAGATAATATTTAGTTTCTGTAGTACAATAAATTTTTCAACAAAAGACCGGTTGCAACTGGTCTGGACCAGTCTTTTTTGTGTTGTGGACTGATTGGGTCCAGTCTAAAAGGGTCCGGTTGCAGTCCCTTAATATCTGGATTGGTCTGGACCAGTTGCGGTTGCCAGTTGCCTCGTTTTGAGGTAAAAAAATGGACTAGACTGGACTTTAAAACACTACACATGCAGAAGAGCAAGCATCCCTCCATTGTCCTCGATCCTGACACAGGTGGATGCAGTGACTGTCACTTTGACTCTCTTTCTCATCATCCATGAGGGGATGGGTAGGATGCTGTTAGGAGATCAATGGTTGTTGTACAATGGCATCTGTGTATTCTTATGTAGATTCTGCAATATATCACATTTTACCTCATCTCTTTGCGGATATGAGCAGGAGAAAGCATGATCGTTAGAATAAGTAACTGTGTATTTTACTCTGTACTTGCTAGTTTTACTGAATTTCTTGATTGTACTGAAGGAGACTAATCTCACCCATGTCATTCTCAACATAGCAAAAAGGATTAATTGGTGCTAGTGTTTGGAAGTCCAGTTACGAGACCGGAAAAAGACCATAACCAAACTGGACCTTAACCGATGAAGACTGCAAATTTTAAAAAATTTGAAGACCAAGCAAAGACTGGTTAAAACCAGTCTAAACCAGTCTTCTAGGACTGGAAACTCAGTCAGTCTTGGGTGATATATTTCTATGTAAATTTCGAACTAACAAATTAATTGAAACATTTGAGCGATGGATGGAACTCTCAGAAAATGCCAAACAATGATCAATGATGTTTGCCAGGCAAACCAAACATTGTTGATCATGAACTTCAATGTTTCAACCACCACTATCCTTTCTCCCTCTTGGCTATGGTCCCTCTCAAGGCTTCACAAGGTATTTATATGTACAGTTGAGTGCAAAAAGAATGAAGGTTGGTTCATTTTTCTGGTTCTTTCTAAGAATCTATTGTACCTCAAATGTATTTGTGTATTCTTTTACATTATGTAGTTGTGTTACACTTCCCTTGGTATGGACTAATTTCAGTGAAAGCTGGGGCCTTGAGAAGGTTTTTATTCTGGAGGCCATTTTTGGCATCTGAAAAAAAAAATATGCGCTAACTGGAGAGGTAGCCAGAACATACCTCTGGTCAACCTGAATGAGCCTATCAAAGAATTAGTTAAAAATATTGAGCGGTTATGGTTGTAGAGCCTCCAGAAAATGGTCATTTTGTGCTATTTTGGTCATTTTTGGCCTGTTTTAGACAAAACAAGCCATTTCCAAAGCC